GTACGGTATTTCCCCTACAGACCAACAGGGCGGCTGAGAAAACCTTTGTTCGACCTAAAATGACTCATTTAATCATCCAAAACGTCATGGAACACATTAATTAACTGAAAAATGTTGCATAGTATGCCTTTAAGAGTTAGATGATTAAAATCAGGATTTTAGAGTCTAGGGATTTCTCTAGTTTTGCAGAATCAGCAGAACTCTGAACAAACCTAATGAAAACTTAAAACAAGCTAATTTGATGAGAGAAGCACAGTATTGTTTTTTACCAACAGTTCAAACTCACCTCCCACCGAGGACGGGCTCTGCCCCGTGGCTCGAGAAATCAAGGCCATACAAATTAACTCCAAGCAGGATCTTTTGTCTCCACTGAGTGTTTGGTGAAAGCTGCAGAACACAATCTCTGATCCAGGGCAGGGGTGAGCTTGGACCCGGCCTGTTGGAATGACAGAAACAGAACAAAAAGCTTGATTTTCTCGATGTTCTCTGTCAACTTAAAGGAAAGTCCTCTCATCTCTGAACTCACTTGGGTCCACTGGAGTAGTCATAGGTCATTAGGCTGAATGCATCAACAACTGGAGCCAACTCCTCAAACTCCTCCCTGCCAAACATCCCTGACTGCCCTGTACTGATTATTTCAGAGAAAAAAACAATTAAGCATAAACACTTTAAGGTTTGATTTGCTGATCTGCACAAAGATATTTGCTGCATATTTACCTTGTCACAGCTGGAGGAATAACTAGAATGCAGTCCAACTTTTTAGCTTTCAAAGTCTCACAAATGTGTTTCACTAAATGAACAAGTTCCCTGATAATAAAGGAAGATTATTAATATTTATTATTAATCTCTAAGGGTTTCCAACGTCAGCCTTTCTGGAGAGTAACTCACTTTCTTTTGTTTCCCCCCAGCTGACTCCAAAGCTCCAGGGTAAATCCATCGAATCCTTCGGTCTGAAAAGCCAGAAAATTCCCCATCAGATGATCAGGTCTCAGTTAACAGCTAAACCTAATCCCCTTATTACCTTTGCAACATCCACCAGTTCACCCGACAGCTCCTCAATCTCATCTTCACTCCCAAACACGCTTATGTAATCCTGGTAGGACCAGCCGTCAAATAACACTCGGGGCACTGGGAATAGACAGTTAAGGAACCAGAGAATAAACTTTTTAAACCACATCTGACCCACATTAACAGACCACAGCAGACTCACCCATCCGGACTTTTTTGTTTGACTTGCGTACAGCTTTGACCCAACCTACAGAGAAAAAAAAAAGTGTTGCCATTTTTTTCCCCCCTTTCTCACAGTATGTAAATGAATAAGATTTGAATTTGACTGTCAGTGTTTTCCTACCAGCATCGTGATCATGAAGTCCTGTGATGTCAAATGTCCCAGGAGCTCGGCGGCGCACCTGAAGCCAAACTGGAGAGACCAGTGACAGCTTGGGGCCAAACTGCTTAGCAATATCATAGCCGTGGGAATTCCACTTTAGGATAGGGGACAGATAAAACACATTAGATGAAAAGGAATAAACAACCATCCACTGATTTTTCATTATTAGCATGTTAAACAAAACAAGACTTTTAAAATAGAGCAGCTTGAAAGCATGTGATTCTTTCTTTGACCCTCAGTCCAGCCAAATATAGATTGTTTATAGCCACTGATGTTACCTTATTATGATTTTTTTATTATCAATATCTAACACAATAGATGCACACTTTTTTAGGTTTCAAACTTTAGACTAAAAAACTTCTGCAAAAAAAGAGGATAGATGCATCTTCTGCTGTTGGATGTTAATACTCTTTGAACATGATGTGAAAAAAAAGGATTAAAACAGATTTTTAAACACTACTGGTATTTTAAGAGTCCTTCTGTTCAATAAAAAACTGAAAACATGCATAAACCATTATTATTTCTACAGTTAAATATATGTTTTTCCAGTTATTCAGAGCCTCATTTACCCTTATTAAGCACATCACTAAAACCTAAAGGGCTGGAATGAAAAAGTTGGTTTCCTAAATATAATAAGACAACTAAAAGTCTCGGCCAGGAATAGTGCATTATATTTGTAGATGGTGGTGAACCAACCTGTTCACTAGAAAAGTGAGGTTGGGTTTTTAGTCTTCAATTATTAAGGATGTGGGTGATACTAAACTGTAAATAAACCACTGCAAAGGAAGGCCAGCTCTGTGATTGGATGCCCTCTGGAGGTGGGGAACAAAAGGATCTTACATAAATTAACATCTCTGTTGGATAATATCTCCCACCCCATGCATGAAGCTGTTGCAGAACTGGAGAGCTCCTTCAGTGACAGACCGCTGCACCCTAAATGCACCAGGGAGCGTTATCACAGATCCTTCCTCCCAGCAGCTGGAAGCCTCTATAACCACTGCTTCCAACAACCTCAATAAGTTGTTACATTCATGCTGATTTTGCACAGTTTTTATCTTAGTTAAATAACATGCTGCTGTCATTTTGCACATCTCTGATGTTGCTGCTACTTTCAAATATCCATTACTGTAAAAATGTCCATAGTATGTTTATTTATTTTCCATGTGTACAGAATTTATAATGTTAAAACACTTAACAGTACCGTATTTTATTGTTTTGTTGTTTTTTTTAACTCTACCATTATGTTATACACTTTTCTAATGTCCACATTTGTGTGACAGTTTTTTTCTATAATCGTTTTGCTGAGTGCTGCTGTAGACAGCAGAATTTCCCTATTGTGGAAAAATAAAGGGACTTTCTATTCTAAAACTAAAAGCTGTGTTCAATAGAGGCAGTAAAAGCATTCTGACACCAACAATAGGAAGGGTACACACGAGATTGATGCCCAGCAGCAGATTAGTTTTAAGAAAACCAGTGATCTGTGTGTCTAATTAGAAGGAAAGGTCTTAAATTATTAGGGAGTATAAAGACGGACAATGTGATGATTGAAGATCTTAAGATCTGATGAGTCAGATTTACATCCTTGAAGAGTAATAGTTGCTTCAGGACGAGAAGACAAACGCATGAAGTTATGCAAATATTGTTCATTGCTGATTTGTTTACTGATTTGTTTGGCAAAGTTTCTCCGAAATGATGTTCATCCCACTTTTAAATAACCAGGGAATGTCTTGATGTTTTCTTTAAGTAGTAGTGAGTAGTAAGCAAGCTCCCTCCTTTGGAGCGACTCACTATGATGTATTGACAGCTACACATATTTTGCGCCTCCTATGAGAGTTTCTTCTTCCTGATGTCCTAAGAATAAAATCATTAGAAATGCATTTTCCTCTGTTCATTGGTGTCAGAACCTTGTCATTTGCTCCATATAGTGAAAATATTTGGATTACCAGCAGCTCATTTCAGCATCAGACCCGTGCTGAATAGACTGAGCCTTAGTGAATAAAGAAAAGCTATTTTTCTTGCCATAACTTTGCCTATTAACCCTTTATAGGGC